GCTGAAATTTATGCAGAACCTAATAACTTTCCATGTCATGCCTTAGTGAAATGGCAAAGGATTCAAGCACAGGTATTTCTGATCTAAAGCCTAAGTGTTTCAGCACTGCTGTCCTTTACTATACAATCTTGTAATCTAGGCTACTGGGTTGATAACTGGATTTACTCTTAGTTCAAAGGGAGAAAACACAAGAGAAAGTTGATAATCTATTTTCCTTACCTTTCAGGATGAGCTGCTGTTGCCACAACACCTGGAGGCTTCCGCAGGACTGCGGTGGCCACTGCTTCCCCTAAGGATGCTCTAGGAGAAAGGGAAAGTGCAGTCTGTCTAGCAAAAGTGGCTCACTCTTGAAAGAAAGAGATGACAGAGGTAATGGTATTCTATCTCCACCGCTCTAATCTATTTTTCAGTCACTTCTTTTATTAGTGTAACTGGTAACTGTTTCTTTCTGCTAACTTTGGCTTTGGGATGGCAATATCTTTTGCAAATTAATTTCATATATTTCATTTATATACACATATATATAATTTTCACGTGAGTTATTTAAAATATTTCAGTGTCATCAGTGTATTCAATGAAATTATACTACTCTATGAGAAAACTCTTCAGCACAGTTTTATTAGCATGAGGAAGTTTATAGTAGAAGTTTATTCAAGAAATTTGCTGCTTAAGATTTGTATTGGAAGAGAGAAGTTGGAAATTACAAGACCAATTCTCTACACAAAGGGTCTAATATAGGTGACAATCTGCTTTGCAAATGAAATTTTATTGCAAAAGTAGCCATGCATATTTGTTTATAGTGTATCTGTGGCTGCATTTGTCCTAAAATAGCATGCAGTAATTGAGTGTTGGCTGTATGATCCACCAAGCCTCTAATCCTCAGAGGAAAAGTTTGTCTATCCTTCCACTGCACTATCAGTAGAAATGGCTGTTCTTTAAAAAAAATAAAATAAAGAAAAAATACTTTAAAAATGATACAGAATTTCACACCACGATGATAGGAAATTAACGATTATTCTATTGCATATTGTTATCTTCAAAGTATTGCTCAGACAGAGGAATTGGTGGTATAGTGGTTAGCATAGCTGCCTTCCAAAGTATTGCTCAGACTATAAGATATAGGCATGCAAAATTGATCAGACAATATAAGTGCTGACTGTTCCTCTCAGTGAACTAATAGAAATTACTACTACAATTATCTTGGTTATATATTATGTATATATATATGATTTTGTTTTGGTTTCTTGTTTTTTAATTTTTTAAATTTTCCTTTCTTTATTTTCTCCTTTCCTCAATTCATTTTTCTTTCCTTTTGAGAATTTTCTTTACCTTTCACAATATCTATTGTACCTTTTGGATCTTATTTACTCTCAGTTTCTTACACTGGGGAGACAATCTGATGTTTATACCTGTAAGTCTGGTTTATTTCACTTATGAGTATGGTCTCAAGTTTCATCCATTTACCTATAAAAGCCTCGGGGCATCTGAGATGAATACACACTTCTCAGATGGAGAAATCCAAATGAGAAATAATTACATGAGAAAATGTTCAACGTCATTCATCATTCGAGAAATGCAAATTAAAACAACCCTGAGATTCCATCTCACCCCAGAAAGAATGGCTTTCATCAAAAAATTAACCAGTAACAAATCCTAGTGGGGCTATGGGGAAAAGGATCCCTTCTCCACCATTGGTGGGAGTGTAGACTGGTGTAACCACTGTGGAAATCAGCTTGGAGATTCCTCAAAAAACTAGGATTACAGGTCCCATTTGACCCAGCTATTCCCCTTTTGGGTATTTTTCCAGAAGAATTAAAAACATAGTACAACAGTGATATATGTGCACTTGTGTTTACAGAGCACAATTTGTAATAGCTAAAAGATGTGGTATTTTTATATAGTAATTTTATAACACTCAGCTATAAAGAAAGTTGTTCTTATTTTGATCCTCAGTACTGGCTTCCTCACTAAGCAAGAATCCCAATACCACAGTGTTGAGTTTTTGTGACAGCACTATTTAATGTATATTTCTGGTAACAAGCTCTCCATTGATTAAAGAACTATTAATTGCTAGCCTAATGTAATTCATGGGGTTGCCATGACCTTAATATAATTGAATTTTACTTGGGATTTTGTAAAGCACAAGTCAAGTGTACATGATCATACTCTAAGCAATAATCTAGGCATACAAGTTCTTTCCTTTTACTGGCTACTGGCTTGATAGTCTTAACATATTTCCTATGATGGTCAAAGTAAAAGAAAGACTGGAGGACAGTATAGAGGTCACACCTGGGAAGACTGCCCATCACTTTGACCCAGATTCCATCAGTTAGAACTCAGTGATATGCTTCAATTAAGTGCAAGGAAAGATGGTACACACAGACTATCTGTGCCCTGAAGAAAGAGAAAGAGAATCAGTGGAAAGCTAGACACACTCCAGCAGGGACCTTCTGATGGAACCGACAGGATGTAATGTTTAGTATGGTGTTATGAGACAGTTGAAAGGGGTAAAAGCTACTGCTTCATCTTTTAACACCAGAAACCACATAGATGGTTACACATCCATGAATGTTAGAAAATACAGAAGGTGAAGCAAGATATGGGAGGGTGGGAAAATAATAATATATGAATTAATTTCATTTTAAAGTGTGATTTTAAAAATATTTCAGGCCTCTCACCTAGTGATTTCTACCATGTATTTTGGAAATACAGGGGATATATTCGGACTGCAGTTATGACCTAGAGATACAGAATTTGGGTTATTAAAACATGAAGAGTAAGTGACAATGAGTAACATGAGATTGACTTAGAACCATACATAAATAAAAGCTACAAACAGGAAAAAAGCACAGCATGTAACATCTGCTTTAGTATGAAATAATAGAGACACAAAGATGAGAAAAATATTTTTTGCCTTCAAGAATCTCAGCATTAGGTCAAAAGTGAAGGAAATTAGTTTGCTTATTGTGTGATAAAGTCTATAAAAGATTTAGCATATGGGATTGTAGAACAGAGAAAGGGCAGGAGGCATCCAGTAAATGCACTGGCCAAATAACTTATTTCAAACACATCATATCAACGACCTGAGTATTCCTTGGTGGTTCTTCTCAAGTCTCACAAAGATAACCAATAAATTCTCTTACAACAACCCAGAAAAGTTGACTTCTGCCTCCATTACTGCATACTTACTTTTATTAAATGATTAATTTGTGGAAAATACTGTGCTGCTTTATTTATGAGCTTTTTCTTATTTAAGCTTCATAACCTTATCAGTTATGGGTTTATTATTTTCAAGAAATATTCTAAATATATGCACTGGTTCCAAAACCAGAATAGAAATCTTGAAAAGCAGAGAGATTAAGCTAACTCACTCTGGCAAACTGAGGTCTGCTGTGCATTGCATCACCACACACTATCCCCATTTGTTCTTTTGCACATAAGAATTCAGTTTTCAACTAATTAACAGAGGTGAGAGCTGGTGCGATGTATTTAAGTAGACACTATTATTCACAGAAAATTAGGAAAATAACACAAGCATTTGATCTCAGCACAGCATTGAATCACAAATGAATAATCAATGTTGTGAAATACCCACTTGTTAGAAATTTATCATAAACTGATAGAATTTTTAAAAATTTAAAGCAAACATATTAAAAGTATACATATATAATTGATGAGTATTAAAGATAATTTTTTTGTCTTTTTGAGACAGGATCTCACTACGCCATTCAGGCTGGCCTTGAACTCACTTTGCTGCCCAGGCTGGCCTCAGACTCATGGCAATCGTTTTGCCTCAGCCTCTGGAGTGCTGGGATTAGAGGCGTGCACCACCACACCCATCCTTAAAGAGAATTTTTTAATGATATTAAATATATTTTATGAAGTGAATGCTGTCACAGTGATAGAAAAGTGCATGATCAAAACCTCAGTGGATGTTTAAATTGAAAAATTAATTACAGTAAAAATATCTTGCTTCAATCACACTTATCTCAGAATTCTAACTACTTCCTGAAGTAGGTCTGGAAGTTCTATTTTATGTCTTCTGTTTCAATATCCCAGTTTTCTCAGTGTTGTGAATTGATTCGAACGCCTTTCATGGTCACTTTGCACCGTGTCAAACTGCGTGAATGAGGTCGGTGATGTTTCTGAGCCTGCCTTTCTCTTGGAGGGCACACGACAGAGATATTCACTCTATTTTTGATCACACCTATTAAAGACACTTATTAAAGACAACTTCCAGAATTGCTTCAGAAAGTGACAGTGATGGGTTAAACGTGTTCATGAAAAGGAAAAGTATTTTGAGGGGGAGTTAATCGAAATGGGTCTTTTACTGTAATAAATTTTATTTTATCTTATTTGTCTTTTTGAGATAGGGTTTTGCTGGGTAGTTCAGGCCACCCTTGAACTCACTTTGTAGCCCAGGCTGGCCTCAAACTCACAGCAATCTTCCTGCCTCAGCCTCCCGAGTGCTAGGATTACATATATGTGCCACCACCCCTGGATCTTAATAAATTTTTAAAATATACACATTTGCTGTATATTTTAACCATACTGTTTATAAGAAAAACAATGGAATTTGATACAAATTCTCTATCTTTTTAATATTTCTTTAATTTTTTGAATTCTTTACTGTCAGTATTAAGTAAATCAATTCTGTGCACTTAATTGTCACAGATGCAAATTATATGGATTTTCTCTCGTGTCTCTTTGTCTCTTCATATATGTGTAATAAAAAGACAAACATATCAAAGTAAATATGCAGAAATCTTACAATCTATAAGAAAGGTACTAAGGATGTTTACATAGTTTGCATTTTCTATATTTGTATAAAAGCACAAATCACTGATGCAATGTTTAGATCTTTATTTTGAAAAAATATTGGTAATTGTTTTAATAAAATAAACAGAAAATATACTTAAATATATGAAAGCAGGCAATGAAAAGAATCAAAATATGAACTCTCTCAAAAGTCAGAAATAGTGGCAGAAATGATCAGATTATGATAGCCAGAAAAATATTTATTGCAGATAGCTTACAAATTGCTACACTGAGAGAGGATATGAAAGACGATATTAGCAGTCACTTTACAATATTGCCTGAAAGAGATGAAATCAGTTGAACTTGCTCCTTAGGAATTTGGATATCTAAGTAACCACTGGGAGACACTCAGTCTACTGGACTTCAGTTAAATTATGATCAACATTAAAAAGAATTTATTCTTTATATTTTTAGAAGACTTCAATATAAATCCATCTTGTGCTATAGAGTATTTATTTAGAGTATTAATTTGTAGCCCTTCATCTAAAAATAATTGCTGAAATTTAAGATGATCATTGAACGTTACTTGTCAATGGTTCATTTTGTCATTCCATTAAATAGTTAAAGGTAACATTTTTCACAGTTGCAACTTTTGTTTTAGCATCTTGAAGTCTTTCACAGGCTTTACGAAAAGCCATCATATCATGAACAAACTTTTCTTCACAGTGTCTTTTATGTACTTCTTGAGCCCTACAGGAAAAAGAAAGGCAGTGCGGTAGTTTTAGATTTTGAGAATCATGACAACTAAATTATTAGTAATAACAATTGGATTTCATCAAAACATTTATACAAATCATAAAAAGAAAGAACTCCATTTACAGATTTTTATATCATTAAATAATATTCATATTGACTAATGTTTGTTAAAACTTCTATTGTCTGAAACTGAAAATTCTTACAAACCATCCCTTCAGCTCATCAAAAGGTATCAAACAGCCTGTGTTATAATTCATAGAATTTCTACGTAAGCCTCACTAAACGTGGGCTTCAAAGACACTTTTTGATTGGAGTGTAATTCTTATTAAAATCCTCACCCAGTACCTTAGGCTGTTAATGCATTTGGAGATAGGGCTTTTCAGAGGTTAGTAAGCTTAAAGTTAGTACAAGTCACATGGATCAGTTCTGAGCCAATATGAGGTTCCTAGAAGAGTAGGAGACATCAGTGACACACACTCACAGAAGAAAGGACCTGTGAGGACAGAGTAAGAAGGTAGCTGTCTGCAACCTCTGAGACAAGACTCGAATCTTAGGGTTTAGTAAAGGCCTAAGTTTTAAAGTATTAAAATTTCGTAGAGAAATATTTAGTAATTCCCTTTGCCGGATGGATAACACTGGCATTCATCAGAACAGGGAATGTAGGAAGAACAGCCAGATGGGAGAAAAATTATAGTTCTCCTTGAGTAATATTGATTTTCAAGAGCCTGGTTAGCCATGTGGTTATGCTCACAGAGTTTAACATAGGGAGGCATTAAGAGTACAGGTAGTACAGCATTCTTGTTTAAAATCTGGCTTTGAAGCTCATGGTATTTTGGATGACTTGTATATGCTCTCTACCCATTTTCATCTCTAGGCAAAGGCAATCCAACTCACCAGGTTTAGTAAGCAGTTTACTGAACTAATTTATCTAAAAGCCTTAAAAAACTGCCTAACATTTAGTAATCATTCAGTGAAAGCTACTATCTTATGAGTCTAGAGATCAAGACTGTAGTCATGTCTGAACACGAAGGAAACTAGAATTCATGGCAATACACATACAATGAAGGATGCTAGTTAAGTCTACCGAGTAGATTTAACTAAACATCCTCACAAATACAGATTATAAATTATGGATAAAATGTACAGAGAATAATCCCTTAATAGCATTTAAAAGTGAGAAATACCCAATAATAAATTACATTTCTACATACCAACATCAAAAATTGGAAAAAGTGAAATTACATTACACCTTGACTATGAACAGAGAACCATAAAATACTTGGAAATAAGTTCAATATGAGAAAAAAAAAAAGACATCCAAGGCCTATATCACAAGATAAGAAAATACTGCTGATGGAAATTTTAAAAACCTAAACTAGTGGATGGTTATAACATTCAATATTATTAAGCTTTTGATTTTCCTTAAATTGATAGCTAGATTCAAAATAATGCCCATCTGTATGACAAGAGCGTTTAGGTAGAAATTAACATTTATCTTTGTTTCAAATATATACTACATTTTAGATTTATTTAATTTAGACCTACTTAGAATGCATTCAATTTAAATGGTTTGAACTTATTAAGTTGTCATTTGATAGAGAAATGCAATTGAATTGTAAACCAAAGCAACCTAGTAACAGCCAGAGTAAACTTGAATAAAGACAAAACTGAAATCTTCATTTTTCTAGCCATTGTGTGACAAATTAGTATAAATGGGCTCACTTACAATGGAGTTATATTATCACACAGTTTCCATGGGTCAGAAGTCTGGGTGTGGCATGGTCATTGAATTATGTCCCTAATTCTCACAAGGTTACAGTTGAGATCTCATCCAGGACTGCGGCTCTCAAGCCGGTCTTGCGGTCCGCTTCCAGGGTTTCTGTCTTCAAAATTCATTTTCCTCTCATACATTTATGTGCCCCCTCCATTTTCAACTCAGCAAATAATGTCAAATGCTTCTCCCACTTTGAATCTATCTGACTTTCTCTTTTGCTTCTGGATTTAAAGTCTAATGTGATTACACATTGCCCACCTGGATAATTCAGTAATCTCCCTATTTTAATGAGGATTTACTGAAATCCTTAATTACATATGCAGAGTCCCCTTGACCGGCATATTCACAGGTGTGGTATTTCAACATATTCATAGTCCTGGGGATTAGACTATGATATCCACCTTCATGGGAGCCATTACTTTGACTAATACAGGTGTCTTACATTATTTGATTTTAGTTACTAAGAGCATATATAAGGAGAATGCTAGTTTTTAACAAAGGAAACCTAATCCTTAGACAGTAGAAAAGGAAGTTAGGATAAACTCATGATTTTATAGAATTTTATAGAAATAGATATGGTAAATTTAGTGAATTCAAAATAGAAGGCTGAGAATTCCTTGGGGGAAATGAAGTAGTGTGCTGAGAGGTCACATGTGAGTTTGCATAGGAAGCTCTACAGTTGTGGAAACTTTGGAATTGACCTTGCAGATAGCTGGGGCAAGTAGAAGTGATAGAAGGAACAGATAAAGTTTTAGGTCATAAAATTAACATTCGCATAAATCTACAAGGCAGTGATTTTTTTTCTAGCCATTTTTATCCTGAATGCATGAAGTGAAAACAGATCACTAGATTGTTCCAAGGTAAGGATTTGTGGCGGAGAGGAGTTAGCACAGGAGAGGCAATGAAACAACAGGACTTCAGAGTCCCTGGACAGAATGGAAAAAGAATATTTAAAGAACCCAGGATCCTATACTAGAAATGAAAAAAATAAATGTATAACAAAAGCTATTTGAGCAATGGATATGATCACATATTTGAAGAATCTGTAGGGGGAAAGTAATAGATGAAAACAGTTGAAAAGATAGACTTTCATCAGAAAACATGCACAACAGTTTAAAATTTGAGAAGTAGGGTGGCTCTAATTAATGAGAAGTTCTTTTTCATCTATGCAAATGAGTTTATTAAAGTTAGGTATGTTATTAATTTACTTTAATTTTGTTTACACAGAATGACATTAAGTACCAAATTATGAAAGAAAATGCCATAATAAATGAGAGACGGACTTGGCTTTGTGTGTACATGATCACAGAAAAATATAGAGTAAAATGCAGAAGTCCATATGTAATATTTAATTAAATCATACAGATTAAACTTTGGCAATTTCAAGCACACTTTTTCTCTCTGAAGAATTTTTGTAGCCATGTTTATACAGGTAAGCCACTTTTATCTAATACTTGAAATGTCAATTTCAATTAAAATACAAAGCATTTAAACTGCATGGGAAATCACAGAAATTACACAATTAATACTTTGTAGATCATGCAAGTATATACCTTTTGTTTTCATCCCAGTATTGGAAATACTAGACAACACAGGATTAATTTTTTTGGCTTCACTTTCTGATAAGTTTACATTTGTTAGAATCTACTTGTGGCCATATTACTACTACATAGCAAGATCTGAATTAAAAAAGGAACAGTGAAATAGTTTGTTTTCCTTCTTACTTCTATTTCAACATTTTTAATATAAATATTTGACAAAAAAAGCACTGTGAGTAGGGAGCAATTTGTTCATGATTCTTAGAATATCATCGCCCTTTTCTGCATTTGGAATTAGTTCTGGTTGAAATGCAAAACATTTTGTTTTGGAGCTGCCACTTCTCTTGCTCACTTCCAGACAGGTGTGTCAATAATTTTATACTCACTTTGAGTCTTGTAGCACCATCCTCATCATGGATCTGCTGAAATTCTAGGATACAGATTACCACAATTTTGTATGCAATAAGATGGCAAGGAACAGCGATGGGCCCATATTGCATGTGTTTCTTTCTGTCATTTGCACTAAATTATATTGCTTTACCTAGTATAATTATTATTTGCATTTATTTTATTGACTAGTATTGTTAATTTACTTGTGGTTTTACTGAAAATATTTTTACGAACCGAAAAAACTAAAGTCAGGTGTGATAAAGATTGGAGAAATTCAATAATGTGAAAGGCAATTGGTCGTGTCATTCTCATAAATTTGGAAGTTAACCATGATTATGGCAAAGGTTGTTTGCAGGAAAGCTTTACAAATAAGAATATGAAGGCCCTAGTGAGTACCGAAGATAATATGTGATACACCTGGACCAAATAAGGAGAAAATAACAGAACTGTACAGCCACCTGGCTCGATAGACTTTCACTCTAACTTCAAAATGCAAACCCTGCTGTCCTGCGCTGAGTTGAGTCATCACTTTCTAGAGTGTGGACAAGAAGAACATTCAGGGGACCCCATGGCCTGCTTTTCTCAGGTGTTCAGGTTCTCTCATTTCAGCCTCTCTAATTCATGCCTAAATTCTCCTGTGACTAATTTATCAAATTGCTAAATTAGACCTTTTGAATTTCTCTTTTTCTTTTTTTTCTCCCTAATTCCACAGCAGTAGAAATATTTTCCATAATGATTTCAGTAATTATTGAGATTCATCAGAATGCTTTTGGGTCAACCGACTGATATTTTAGCGAAGATCAACAGCCTAAAAAGGTATCAGAACTGAATAAAGCTATCAAAGTTTATTTTTTTTAGTCATGGTTCCTTTCTAAGTTCTTTTATCAATATTACAATATTTTAATACATTTAGAGTAACACCCAATAATATTCTGGAGGTATACTTATATAACCAACACATGGGCTTATTCCTGCATGATTTCAAGGATTATATCTTGGCAGAAACTTACAAGAGAAGACAGTTCAGTTAGATAGATAGACAGAAAGACAGGCCAATTAAAATATGACTAGTGTAAAACTTGTTGGTTAGCTCCAAAATAGGAAAACATGTGTGAAAGATTCCAAAAGGGTAAAGATAAATTACTTGGGGTTCTGTCTCACATACCATACAAATATGTCTATGCCTTTCAATCTCTTTGAGTTATCTTACTATATTGTTAATTGAAGAAACTGTGAATAGTGTGATTCTCTCTTAAATAAAAATGTAAGCACATTTTGTCCAGTGAGTTTACCGTTGATTATTTTCCAGTAGATACTGACTAGCTAGGAATATACTTATAAATTTATTTCCATATTCTTTCTTTTCCATATATATATATTCATACTCTAAATCCTCATTTGGTCTAGTTGTAACATCTTATTTTGTTTTTCTTTACTAGATTAAATAAAACTTGTGGTTGTGCACTGTGTAAAAATTCTGGTTGTGCACTGTGGTTGTTATATTGGTATGAGCCATATATTCTATGGTCCTAAAATATATTCTTTAATAGCTAATGAAATTTAAGGCAATAACATACAGACTGAAACATTTTGAGTCAATTTTCTTTGAGCTTCTATTTCAATAACTTTAGTTTAAATCAAAAATCTTCATAATTTTTTTTTTTTTTGCATTTTCTGAGACAGATTAGCCAAAGTTTCTCCTAGGGATCGTTTTCTAACCCATTTCTTGAAAAGAAGGTTACATGGTCAACTCCACCTTTAAAATTCACCACTTCTCTCTATGGAATTCGTAAAGGTCTTTACCATGTAACTGTCCACTGAGACTTAGTGACTTTTTCTAATTGAGTTCATGTTTCTCAAGGAATTACATTTTCACTACTTTCCTGCATAATCCTTCTTCCATAAAAATGTTCATCACCTCGTTTTTCTCCTCACACTTTACCTGTCCTGAACTTTATGAACTCGCTCATTTGATGGTCTCTCACTATCTGTCCTTTCCCCAGATCTAATAGGTAAGTGTACTTTTTCTTCTATTTTTTGTGGGAATTCAAATGTATGCTTCTGTTTGCCATTGGACTGTGAGTTCTCAGAGAAGAAAGAGTGTTACTCATTTTTGTGTGCGAGGGCAGAGGAAGCTGAAGTGAATGAACACTTTGATGCTTAGTTAAGTCATCTTTGTCAAAGTCTTGATGGCATGCAGGAAACGCTATCCAAAAATATGGTACGTTAGCATACTGAGTTTTTCAAATGGAAGGAAATTGAGAAAACTGTAGAAGCAGAAAGATTTCCCTGAAGTTCTCTTGTCCCTTCTTTTCTAAAGACACTGTGACAGATGTCCCGTACTGTAACTGGAGGGAAGGAATATTACACAAAGAGGTCACAAAGAACAGGAACTTGCGCAGTTTCGCCCAGTCAAGCACCATTTAGGTCATACATCCTTCTTGTCCAACTGAATTTATATTCAATAATCCATTCTTTATCAAAATTCTAGGCATAAAAACAGTTTTCTCTTAACATTTGGTTCTTCATTTCTGAAGGTTTCCATGCCTAGTAAAATTTTTGATTGAATAAATTTGTTAAATTTTTCTCTAGTGAATGTGTCTGTTTTATAAGCATCTCAAGTATGAACCTACCGATAGATGAGAAAGGAAATATTTAATCACTCGTGCTTATTACCTACCAGAAATTTTAATTCTCTGATAGTTTTTGTATTATTGTTTGTACAGTTATTTGACTCTGGTTGTCTTATTGCCTTATTCCTCACATACAACTAAATTTTCAGTTTCTTAAGCCACATGATGTTTATGTCCCTATATTACTGGTTATAGGAATCTTTAAGATCTAAAAGTGAATTACTGCTTGGTTATAAGTACTCTGTGAACTGAAAATAAGGACTCCTTGGTAAAGAAAAAGGGATGATAAGTAAGGGAAAGGAAAAAAGTGTGGATAAAGTTTATTGCCATGAAGAAAGCACTCATGCCAACATGGATAACTATTCCAGTTGCTAGTGATGCTAGTTTCATAGCTTGGTTAATTATATTTCTATATAATTCATTTAATAATCCTAGCTGGAGACGCAGCTCCTTGGTAAAAGGTGCTTGCTGAGTGAGCCCAAGTACCTGAGTTTAATCCCCAGCACACACATACACACACACACACATATACACACACACATAATGTTCATTATACAAGCTTTGGAAAAATATACAGTGTCTCATTCTAGTAACTCATATGTTGATAATAGATAAGCAAAAATATTTAGACATCTTAGAGTTATAGAATGGTTTAAATTAAGTTATGTCTATTACTAAATGGAATTTATACTTGTTTTTCTTGATAAATATTTACTGAATTTGTTAATGAGGCACAGTAGTAGGCCCCGAAGTGGAAGGATGAGCCAGATTATTTTATAAAGCACTCCACATGCTAAGTAACTATGATATAGGTTCTTTACTGAAAATTGTTAGATTTGAAATGATGGGGAATAAAAGCATGAAATCTAGCTGCACAAAGACAAGTATCATACACTTGTGATGTATTTCTTTAGAGGAAAGGATGTCTTTTCCTTCACATTTAATCACTACTTACTCACTAATTTGAATACCCCAAAGTATTATGATTTGCATAACACCATAGAGATTCTTGTTGGGTAACATATATAATGTATACATTTAATATACAGTGCCCTACCAGAGTGCATATTTGAGAGAAAAGCATCAGCAAACTTAGAGATAAGAAAGTTGAAAATTGGATAGTGGAGACTAATTTATTTTCTCTACAGCGAGCACTTTTAGGTGAAGAGGGCAGAAGCTAGTGGAAAATTTTAATGTGAGACGATATTAGTGAAGAGCACATTTTCTGAAATGCCACTCAGATATTAAACTTCATTCTTTTGGGAATAGCAAACTATCAACATACTGCAGTATGAAATGATAAAATCAGAAGTTTATTTAAAAACAGTTGAAGTTCATAGGTTAGTGAACAGATGTGCCAGGAGGAATGGAGACTAGAGAGAGTGTGAATTCTTATATGAAGAGAGTTTGAAATGGCAGAGAAGAAGTAGTACTGAAAAAGGACCCATTGGAACACTCCTTCTAGCAGTAACTCATAGGAAAACACATTAGATAATGACACAGAGAAGCTGAGCTGTGAAGGGCTCAGGTTTCCAGCAATGGTCAAAAGGCTGGTGATAATGTTGTTTAGGACAAGAACAACTGAACTTAGCTTGGTTTTGAGCAATAAGAGTGAGAGGGAGGAAGGAAGGCATTATTTTATTGTCTAAGCTTTGACAATATATTAGTGCATTATTTCTCCTGTCTGTTTACATTATCCAAATTAGAATGTACCATACCACAAGCAAAATGTCATTTATTAGAACTCAGTATTTAGTATGAAATATTCACGTGTGATTGACTTAAAAGCTATTATCATATAAACTACACTTACCTAAATTCCTTCATATGCTTAAGTAAAATCTTCTGATATTTTTCGGCTTTAAGTTTTTCCTGAACAATCAATTTTTTCTCTCTTAGGACAGCTTCATTCTTGTTCAACCTGTCGATTTTAACCATTCCTTTGAGCAAAAGGGTGCGCTCATTATTTAAGCTTTGAATTAATAAGTTTTCTTCGGCCTTTTGGTACTTCTGTTCTAGAAAGAGAGTTCTTCTCTCTTTAACTTTTGCGAGATAGTTTAACCTTTCCTGCAAAAGTTGCTGTACACCTCTCTGAATTGTCTCCTTATGTCTTTCAATTAGCTTCTGTTCAATACATTTTTTCTTGTTTAAATTTTTTTCAACAGCTAGGCTAATTCTTCTTTGGGCAGCACGTGCCATGGCTACAGTTTTTACTTTTTCAGTATGGCGTTCCTGTTTCTTTTCTTCTGTGTAATATTCATCAACATCGTTAAGCATTTGAAGTTTTATACTAGGTCCCTGTGTAGTAAATCGCTTTCTTGTCTTCCTCTCCGATACTGTGTCTTTTTTAATTAGTGGTTTTGGATGAGTAATAGAAGATGGCTGGGTGAGGGCAGGAAAATAAACTTGCTTTTCTTTCAGTGCTTCAGCATACTTCAGTGGACCCGAAGTGCATATGGGCAGTTTGACAGATGATATACTAAAACTGGTATCCAATTCTTCATCCTCAGTTTCATCTGTAGACTCCTGACCTACATAAGACAGCAGATACGCATAAAACATGATCTAAGCTTATTTTTGGCCCAAATTCTTTCCAAAGCTATATTAATAAAACTGACGAGAACCTGTTATTTACTTTGCTAAACACCACTTTCCTCAACTTATATTGCAACTCAGAATTTTGCAGAGGAAAATGACTATTAGAATTGTTTAACACATGAATGCATTGAAGTGGATTTCTACATTTTCTCTTTTATCTCTAATAATTATTTAACTTGTACTGATTCAATAATAGCACCTTCTCTTATACATGTTTTTTATACATATTTTACATTTTCTCTTATACATATCTTCTCATATACATAGTTTGCTAAAATAATAACTTTAGAGAAATTCAACTGAGCAGAGTGTAACTCAGCAAAAAGCAGTTCATGAATGAGCACCGTCCAGAGCCAGAACCAGAATCGAGGAAGTTCAAGAGCTTTGCTTCACGGCTCTGGCAGGAAGAATTTATACGGAAAGCAGAAGTGACAGGTACAGAAGCAGCTTGGTTGTTTACAGGTCAATATTTGCCTTACTCAAACATAGTTGAATCCAAATGCCTGCCTGCAACTGAGTGAACCTTAGTTGCTCTGGTGGGAATGCGGCTTAGCCATGTGTTACAAAAATACTCTCCTTAAGTTAGGCGTTAAGACTGTTTATGTACAAGTGAGCTTGGCTGGTTATGTAAGGGGCCAAGATATGATGGCAGTTTTAGGCCTCATTTCATTTAATAATCTAGTAATATTTACCAAGGACACTGCAATGATAGTCAGTTTTATGTTATTTTCCTTAACTCTGGAAAACAATGATAGTTGCCATCAAAATGTTTTATTCAGGTAGACAAAGAAACTAAGAAAGGAAAATGGTTAGAAAGGAGAGAATTGAAGGAAAAATGGAAATAAAGTTATTGCTAATCTATGCCATAGTTCTTGCTATAGTATTTAGTAGATGCAAAGCTTCTTAACACTTCGGACCATTGTTGATCCTACATTGCTAGTCTCTGGCCTAGTATTTTACAGAGAACTTGGTTTATAGGGTCACGCAATTCAGCAAAAAATGTATGCTCAATGAGTATATTTGTTGGAAGGATGAGTAGACAAATGGGCAGGTAAATCTGTTGGTTGTGAGTAGTATTACTTGAAACAGGTAAAAGCCAAGGATTTGGAGTCAATGTGACTGGATCTAAAGCCTAGTTGTATCACTATATAGACTAGGGAAGTTATAAAATTCTCTGGCCTTCAGTGTCCTGTAATACATAGAATAGATACCTAACTTACAGGGTTCTTACAGTTTTAAACGACTTAATATAATATAAAATGCTAGTAAAATGTACTATATGAGTATAAAAACAGGACCTGATAAAGAGTGAGATATATGTTAGCTATTTCTTCATTATATTTGATATGCAAACCAAGAGACTTATCTCTTTAATTCCATCAATAGGACAGTGCTCAAAGAGCCATATGATTTAATAATGAGGAAAATACAGCACTTTTTCACCCTCAATATTCATTGGAAATTAAAAAGCAGAGCACAGAAGAACATTCTCTCATGTGCATATTTTGTTTGAAGATGATATTTCTCCTATTTTGTTAAAAGAGGAGCCAACCATTGGAAATGCTGATTTTTCTATGGCCAAATTTAGAAACTTGTCGGTCTGCTTACGAATCCTCTTCTAACCTGATAAACAAAGGGGACATTCTCAACACGTTAACCTCCACATTCAGCAATGCTACATTCATAACCACAGCCACACTACCTCGGTTCACTGCCCAGACACCATGCAAAGATTTTGTTCAGTTTTAGAATAGAAATCATTGAAGGCATTACATCTTTGCATGACCGGAGTCCTTTTCTTTGGCTTCTATGAATTTTTCAAATCAAAAACATTGTAGGATGAGGGAAAGGAGAAAAGAAAGAAAGAAAGAAGGAAGGAAGGGAAAAAACATATATGTATATACAAGGATAGCTGGGATAATTGTACTGCTGATGTCTATAGGTTTGTTGAAAGGAAGTTAATGCTTAATTTATTTTTTTTGACCAATTTTGCATGTTTATACCTGCTAATCTCAACAACTAATTTGAAGACAATATGCAATATAGCAATCATAGATGAATTTTGTTTAGTGAAGCTCTGTATCATTTCTAATTTTTTAAATTATTTTTAATTCGTTGAAGATAACAGTACGTAATATAACAACCACTGTTAATTTCTATCATCTTGTTTTGAAATCCTATTTGTTTTTATTGTTTTTGTGCTGCTTTGTTTTTGTCTATGTTTTTTGTTATTGTCTTTTTTTTCTTTAAAATAAAAAGGAAATATATTTTACTTCTATTTTTACCACTAAACCATCCAAACTGTTCTATTAAAGAGTATTGTCTTAGTCATTCTCTTATCACTGGGAAATACCCATTCAAAGCAGATAAGATTTATTTTGGCTCACAGATTCAGAATTTTTGGTCCATGTCAGGGAGGCTTAAACGCAGACACAGCACCATGAAGGGCCTGGGCAGAGGAGCTGCCGTGTCTGATGGTCAGGCAGCAGAAAGAAGCAAGGAGCGGGAAAGGAGACCCTTCCACGTCACCCCCGAAACCTGTCCATCCTAACCAGACCCCATCCCATGGCAGCTGTCACTTATATCACCCCAGGCTTCCATCCTTTTCCTGAAACCCTGCTGATGAGCACACGAAGCCTTTGTGTTACATTCTTGATCTAAATCATAACAACTTTTATGATATTAAATACAAAAGACACTTTTTCTGTTTTAGCGATTCTGGAAATCTCAGTGGCATTTTACTTCCTTAGGCATCCATCTCTCTTGAAACCTCCTTTTTCAGACTCTGGAGTGCCATCCTGTACTACCTTTTCTTTTCCATAGTTCCCCCCTAGTTTTGTTTCCAAGCATTTTCTCTTCTATGAAATGTCATCCTGTTGAATTTCCTGAGGATTTGACACCAGGCCTCCTTCATCTCTCTCTGTGTTCTAAGTGAACATGACATAAAAGCCAATGTCTATGCTAATCACTCTCAAATTCAACAATTTTGCTTATAAATCTTTTTGTTTGTTTGTTTTAGTCTTTCTGAGACAGTCTCACTATGCAGTTTAGGCAGAACTTGAGCTCACTTTGTAGCCCAGACTGGCCTTGAACTCACAACAATCCTTCTGCCTCAGCCTCCTGAGTGCTGGGATTACAGGCATGTGACACCACGCCCGGTCAGATCTTTTACATATATTTTAAACTGGGCACTTTAACAAGCTTTTGTTTGCGGCCAGAAATCTATTCCCTCTAACAGCAGCCCTTCTTATCTCAGTATACAATATCTAATAGTTTTGTGTACCACTTAAGCTTTATTAATATGTATTATAGATTTTTCCTCCAAATGAAACTTAATTGACCTTTCTTCCTCTCCTATTCTCTATTCCACCTCTTATTTTAACTATATCAGTAGATTAAGTAGTATCTGTATTTAATGACACATAAACTATTTATTAGTTATTTATCAAATGATATCTTCTAAATTCTTATTATTACATATTTATGTCCAAGATATGCATGAATTGTAGGGTAATTGCCTGGAAAAATTATTGGATATCAGAAATACAAATGATAACAATAAGGTCACCTCATTTGAGTATAGTTTTACAAGTGTAATGTTTGATTTGACTTAATTGAAAAAATACTGGGAATTTACTTTGAACCAGGGTCTTAAAAAAATAAAAACTGTCCCTTCTTTCCCAACAGTTACATTCTAGTGAAGGAGGCAAGGTTGATAAAACACTGAGGCAAATATTAAGTTTTATACAAAGAGCCATAAAGCCACAGAAAAAATATTTTATCCTATCCGTGCCAGAGTAAATCACTTATCTGGGCAGAGATGGGATAAAACGTTCTAGACAAAGCTGACAAAGATGCTCTTAACCAATTTTTTTTTTTAAAGAGAATAAAAAACCCAGAATTTCAAAACAAGATGATAGGAAATTAATAATGGTTGTTGTACTGCATATTGTTATCTTCAAAGTAATTGTTTGGATTACCATGTATAGACATGAAAAATTGATCTGACAATTAAGCATTTATTGTTCCTTTCAATAAACCAATAGAAATTTAGCAGTACAATTATCTTAAGTATCTTGCATATGTATATGCATATACATATATATTATATATATTAATATGTGTATGTATATATTCTTTCCTTTCCTTCTTTCTGTTTTTTTTTTTTTTGTTTTGGTTTTTCTCCGGTACCGGGAACCGAACTCACGACCTTGCGCTTGCCAGGCAGGCGCTTTTGCCGCTGAGCTAAATCCCCAGCCCCTCCTTTCCTTCTTTCTTTCTTTTCTCCTTTTCCCCAACCCAGTCATTCGTTCCTCTTGAGCAGTTTCCCTTCCACAGTATCTATTGTACCTTTTGGATTTTATTCACTCTTTCAGTTTCTTACACTCTATTTGTAAGCAGAATTGTTTGCTGAACTGCAGTGGTTATTCAGTAGAGGGGAGATATTAAGCTCACTTCTAAATACATCAAAATAAATGATGATGTATAGCCAACAGGCAGAGTGGGGGATTAGTGGATGGAAAATGATTAGGAGAAACCCGCTCACTGAGGGAGAGTCTTGCTAGGCTGATTCACCAAATCCCCACTGAAGACAGGTAATAAGATAAAGAGTTTGCGGGGGCAGGATGAGGAAATGTGGATACAAGACAGCTAAGGATGAAACATGTGGGTAAATTCATGTCTAATAGGCACATAGCAAATAGGTAAAACATGAAAAAGAAAAAAATGGGGGCCATAGCCTGTTGATAAATGCATTCCTATGGGAATTACTACTAACAAAGGGAACTGTTATATGTCTTCACTCAAGTTTACCACAGGAAGTCCCAGTGTACACCTGAGATCCTAACTGAATTTATTAACAGCAACTTCTTTCACTCTTAGAGTGACATACACTGGACAATAAGTTGTGTGGTCACCTTAGCCAATAGGCACA